AGTGGATGCTGAAGTTGAGTCTCTTGTCTAAGTACAGGCCAAGGAACTTTCCATCATTTTTATTGCTACTTTCCATCATTTTTATTACTAATGTGACAGATCAGCTGCATTATCTATCTGAAGCTAAATTGCATTTGTTGATTTGTTTTCAAATAGGATGTAGTAGGTCTTTTCTATGTTTAGTGTGAGTTTGTTGGTTGACATCCACAAATGGACTATTTTTTTAATTCATTGTTTACAACATTATTTAACATGAGTGGGTTGGGGTCAGAGTAGATGAGAGTAGTATCATCAGCAAACAATATAGGTTTAAGCATGTTAGAGACATTAGAGAGATCATTGATGTATATAAGAAACAGGAGGGGTCCTATGATGCTGCCCTGTGGCACCCCCTACGGTTAGTGGTAGAGTAAGAGAGGTTATATCATTGATGACTACATATTGGTGTCTGTCACTAAGATAGGGTCGGATATAGTTCAGGGCAAGGCCACGGATTCCATAATGGTGGAGTTTAAGTAAGAGGTAGTTATGGTTAACAGTATCAAAGGCCTTTCTCAGGTCAATGAAGAGTTCAATCGGAAACTCACTTTTGTCAAGGGCTGAGTAGATTAAGTCAAGCAGACTAACAATTGCATCATTGATACTCTTTTGGTACTGGCAGGGACTTGGTATATTGAATTTTACGAGATAGGAGTAGAGCTGTTTGTAAATAATTTGTTCAAATATTTTTGATAATATAGGTAGATTCGATCTGGGTCTGTAATTGTTAATATGTTGTAATGTCATTAATATGTCTGTAATTACTGTAATAGGTTGAGATTCAGTTTTATAAATACGCATATACTGTATATCACGTGCTCGACTCACGCTCGGGAATCCTGGGTTTGAATCCCTTGCGGGACAGAAAAGGTTTTACACGTATCCTTTTATCTAACGCCTCAGCTCACCTAGAAGTAAATATTTCTGTTCACTTAGCAGGAAATATATAGTTAGTCATTTGTTGAGGAGTTGCATCCTAGCTGGCTAGGGTCAGTAGTTCGACCTTGGGAGAGATAAAACGGCAGCCAACACACTGAATGACACTCAGTATATCGTTTCACGATCAAAGATCACATTCACTCCAAAAAATCTACCATTTACCCGTGATAGTGGTAGATCTACCATTCATGCCCGTGTCACCTCTTGGGTGGCTTAATCTTCATCAATCAATCTCTGAATGAATACTTTACATCCGTATTCACACTAGAGTTTTTAGACAGCATCCTAATATCTACAAATGTTTGAAGCAGGTGACGAGAATGAATTAAGGGCTATATACCCATATACCCGTCCTCGACTCAAGTCCATTCCATCCGGCGGTTGACCCCATAGACGCATTCATAAATTTTAACGTACTGTTCATTTAAAACAAGAATTTTCTCAAATATAAATTAATATTATAATATATTGGCATATTACGTATATATAGGCAAAGGTTAGGTTAGGGTAGGTATTTAGGTTCTGTTGCCGATTATTTGTATTTGTATTACGTGGATGAAGCATTTATAGCTTTGTGGTTCGAACAAAATTCGTCAGTGAAGCACTTGTTCCGGAAGTGTTCGAATGAAATCAGTTGTGAGTCGTGTGTAAACCGTTGTTCATTCATAAGCAGGGGGTTTGGCGGGTGCATGGAATCACTTTTGGATCTTTGCTTGGAGGACGGGCTTTATGTTGTAGAGTTGTGTAGCATCCTCTTTTAACTACGTTTCAGTAAGCACAACAAAAGATAATTTGTTGTCAACTGTTTGAATTAGGGCACTAACATCATCAAAGTGTTTGCTTAGAGATCTTACATTCAAGTTAATTACATAAATATTGTGATTATGTATTAAAACAATGTTTACATCATGTGCATATATAGGCATAGGTTAGGTTAGGTGTTTAGGTTCTGTTGGCGAGTATTTGTATTTGTAGTACGTGGGTGAATCATTTACAGCGTTGTGGTTCGAACAAAATTCGTCAGTAAAGGACTTGTTCCGGAAGTGTTCGAACGTCATCAGTTGAGTCACCCGTCACTCTCTGACAAAACTCTACATCTCAAGGAGCTCTGGCTTTGATATACATGTTTGTTTTCTTTTTTTGCTTTATTCTTTGAAACTTTGTAAAGGACAATTAAACACCAATATATACATATATAATATTATAATGTATTCAACATAAATGTTATCTGTTATTTGAGGCAGCCATTGAGGCTACCGCACGTCAGGTATTATAATGATGGCCTCGCTGAGAGCTTTGTGCGTGTAGGGATGGAGGTCTGCCTGTAGTCTGTACAACACATCATACTGTACACCGGGATCACTCACTCCTCATTATTCCTTGACAGTTTTCATGCATCAAGCACAAGGCGAGCCTTGCTGCATTTTTTTGCATGATGTATATACTACTGTATATGCTTCTGGTTTTGTACATAAGTAAGCTTGGCCGGTCTAAAGAATGAGTATTTCAGTGTGATGTCGGTCAGGATTAGTTCCATACTATACGCACGAAACATTCTGAACTATAGATATCTATCAAGACATGTTCCTCTAGGAGTTAAAAAGAATTAACATCTATTTTGTTGTAATTTACCCTTATTGAGGGGCCCGGCGACTATAATACAAGCACAAAATATGCTGCGAGAAACATTGTCACCAATAAAGCCATTGCTCTATGAAAATTCATATTTCTCACTTCATGAACATAAAAGTAAGACAGAATTCTGCAACAGTCAATAGTGAGCTCGGACCCCGACCTCCTCCGTGAGATGAACACTCTTTCACTATGGAAAGAGGATCTCATGATACAAAAAAAAAAAAGTCCAAGTAACTCGCCATGAAGAGGGGCGGATGAGAATGTACAATGCATGTTAGAGTCCCGCTCTGGATGGCATTTGCAGTCTACAATACATTTACACGTGATCTCTTTTTTACAATGAAGCATTTTTTTTTACAGTGGAACCATATTTTTACAATGTATTTTTTTTACAGTATATATTAATTAACATTTAATACAGTATACACAAAAGAGAGATAAGTAAAAAAAGTGTGTGACACTAAATCTGGTATCTGTACAATGCATTTGATGACATACTGAGAGTGGAATATACTCCACCTTAGAGGTGAGAGGCTTAACCACACGTCCACATGCACTGCCCTGGAGACGTGGATCTGAACACGTCTACACCCATGGAGACGTGGTACTGCCAGAGTTACACTTACCTACTGATGAACATCCATTGTGTCCATAACAATGCCAAATAAGAACACCAAAGGTAATATTTTAGTGCTTATTGTGTAAATTATGTTAATAACACAAAAACACAATAAGCACTAAAATAACACAGAACAAGAATATGAATTGTATATCTGATAAATATTCTTAATAACCTTGTTCACTGGTTTTCATGCAACATGCTGTCCCAGTTCAATATAAAACGCCACATGAAACACATAACATATTGAACTCTTTGTCGGCATATTTAGTGCAGATAAAAATTAAAATTGTATAATTCTAAGAACCATTAGATAAAGCTGAATTTACTTTGCCATTTAACTAGTGTTACAGAGTATCAGGCCGTTAACATTAAAGCTGACATAGCCTATTATATCAACTGGAATGTTGTTGCAGCACAGTTCGTCTCCCTCGGGCCATGCAGTACCACCAGCAGGTTGTGACGTCCGCCCTGCAGGAGACATGCAGTACCACCAGCAGGTTGTGACGTCCGCCCTGCAGGAGACATGCAGTACCACCAGCAAGTTGTGACGTCCGCCCTGCAGGAGACATGCAGTACCACCAGCAGGTTGTGACGTCCGCCCTGCAGGAGACATGCAGTACCACCAGCAGGTTGTGACGTCCGCCCTGCAGGAGGCCGCCATATATGGCTGGAGGGCTCCACACTGTAGGCATCAACAACACTTGGCCTGGAAGACACACGCGTCTAACTCCCAGTGACATGATTTAGCTTCAATAAAGTTAAATTTGTAATATGTAAAGCAGGTATAAAATGTGGCACAACTTAGTGTCTTCACCGTACACTGGCAACACCCTACCACGGCTGCTGCCATGTGCCGCCCCCACAGGTAAAACTGCTGCCAGATTGTCTCTTGTTTAATATATTGCAGCACGTGTATAATTTCCTCAGTAATGCCATCATTAAGAATGAATGATATAGTGACTCGATAATATAATTACATTATAATGAACAATATTAGTTTTTCTAATTAACTTGAGGCTTTTTAAAAAGATATTTGCAGTATTAAATATAATAAAGCTTTAATATAATTTTTCGCCGCGAACGTCGATTTTGACGATAATGAATTATTTCAGAGGAGCAGCTTCCCAATACACGAAGACGAGTCATCAACCAACACTTTGTACTCTTGGTGGCTTTATCGCAGTCAATAGTGCGTTCTTGCCAATACTAATTATCACGCTCATTTCCTCTCTCTATACCAATAATAATAATTTATTCATACAAACTATATATATAGGCTATATTACATTGTTTATAATTATTGTACCTTTTTCATTTTTGTTTACGAAGACACTTATCACGCACAGCGTTTTCGGGCACCTGGACTTTTCTAGAATGAAGAAAAAGTGTCCTCATACTCCGCACTGGGGAAACGTGTGTCTGTTAATCGGAGGCCTTTCCTAATTTCAAGTTTAATTTCAGGTAAGTTTATAATAAAATATATTAATCAAAGATAGAGTAGCTTACGCTATTTCTACCCTAAATGCTGACGTCTCTTAGCTTCGAATTAGTTTGATTGGCCGGGGACGATGCACTGTTGCCAGTCCTCGCTGGGGAACGATGCATTCTTGCCAGTCCTCGCTAGGGGACGATGCATTCTTGCCAGTTCTCGCTGGGAAGACGATGCATTCTTGCCAGTCCTCGCTGGGGGACGATGCATTTTTACCAGTCCTCGCTGGGAAGATGATGCATTCTTGCCAGTCCTCGTTGCGGGGGGGGGGGGGGGTGGGACAATGCATTTTTGCCAGTCCTCACTGGGGGGACGATGCATTCTTGCCAGTCCTCGTTGGAGGGACGGTGCATTCTTGCCAGTCCTCAATGGGGGGGGGGTGACGATACAGTCTTGCCAGTCCTCGCTGGGGGACGATGCAGACTTGCCAGTCCTCGCTGGGAACACGATGCATTCTTGCCAGTCCTCGCTGGGGGACGATGCAGACTTGCCAGTCCTCGCTGGGAAGACGATGCATTCTTGCCAGACCTCGCTGGGGGACGATGCAGACTTGCCAGTCCTCGCTGGTGGACGATGCATTCTTGCCAGTCCTCGCTGGGGGGGGGACGATGCAGTCTTGCCAGTCCTCACTAGGGGACGATACATTCTTGCCAGTCCTCGCTGGGGGGACGATGCAGTCTTGCCAGTCCTCACTAGGGGACGATACATTCTTGCCAGTCCTCGCTGGGGGACAATGTATTCTTGCCAGTCCTCGCTGAGGGACGATGCATTCTTGCCAGTCCTTGCTGGGGGACAATGTATTCTTGCTAGTCCTTGCTGGGGGACAATGTATTCTTGCCAGTCCTCGCTGGGGGGACGATGAATTCTTGCCAGTTCTCGCTGGGGGACGATGAATTCTTGCCAGTCCCTGTTAGCTACTGTTGCTGTTGGTAGCCACCTGAATCTTTTTGTTGCCCTTTCCTTTCCCTTTGCCTTTGCCCTTGCCTTTCTTGCCCTGAAGGTCACTGGAGTGGTGTCCGAGACTCATCTTGCACTCAATGAGGTAGGTGGCCAGCAGAGGAAGACGCCAGCGGCCCCGCACCTTCAGCAGCGGCCGCAACAAAGAAAAGTTGTTTATTAGAGCCGAGTGCCTGGCTTTGTGTTTTCAGAAGGGAGTGACCGGGTGGGAAGGAGAGATGGGAGAGGGAGGGATAACGGTGCAGGGGGGAGGGAAAGGAAAAAAGATGAGAGATTGATAGGATACCTGAGGTAGGAGGGGATTGAGATATGAGAGAGGAGAGGATAACAGAGTGGGAGGAAGAGAGGTGAGATAATAGAGAGGGAATTGGGTAGTGAAGTACAAAGCTAGGACAATTAAAAGTTCAACTCACAATCGGGGATCCTGGATTCGATTCCCGGGCGGGACAGAAATGATTGGGTACGTTTCCATTCACCTAGTGCTTCTTTACACCAAGCAGTAAACAGGAATACAAGGTTTAGGCAGCTGTGGTGGGGTTGTATCCTGGGAAGGATCAGAAGTTCGACCATGAGGGGGGACCGCAATACAAGACTAAAGTATAATTAAATGAATTTTGTTGGGGACAGGAAACCTACATATCGAGTTCCCCCCCCCCCCTTCCCAAGATCAAATTACTGACTCCCCAGGATGCAGTCCCATAATAGTTGCCTGACTTTCGGGTACCTGTTTACTGCTAGGTGAACAGGGGAAGGACACGTTCCCAGCCATTTATGTCCCGCCCGAGAATCGAAACCGAGATCCCCGATTGTGAGTCGAGAACGAAGATAACTGAATTTCTGTAAATGTATAAATATATATATATATATATATATATATATATATATATATATATATATATATATATATATATATATATATATATATAAAAACCAGTCAAGTCCTGTCCTCGTCAAGAGGAATTTTTGTTATATAAATGTGTGTTAGAAGTTTAGGACTCAGCTTGCAGGGATGGCAGGAGTGCTTGCTGAGCAGGGATGGCAAGAGTGCTTGCTGTGCAGGGATGGCTGGAGTGCTTGCTGTGCAGGGATGGCTGGAGTGCTTGCTGAGCAGGGATGGCAAGAGTGCTTGCTGTGCAGGGATGGCTGGAGTGCTTGCTGTGCAGGGATGGCAAGAGTGCTTGATGTGCAGGGATGGCTGGAGTGCTTGCTGTGCAGGGATGGCTGGAGTGCTTGCTGTGCAGGGATGGCTGGAGTGCTTGCTGTGTAGGAATGGCTGGAGTGCTTGCTGTGCAGGGATGGCTGGAGTGCTTGCTGTGCAGGGATGGCTGGAGTGCTTGCTGTGCAGGGATGGCTGGAGTGCTTGCTGTGCAGGGATGGCTGGAGTGCTTGCTGTGCAGGGATGGCTGCAGTGCTTGCTGTGCAGGAATGGCTGGAGTGCTTGCTGTGCAGGGATGGCTGGAGTGCTTGCTGTGCAGGGATGGCTGGAGTGCTTGCTGTGCAGGGATGGCTGGAGTGCTTGCTGTGCAGGGATGGCAAGAGTGCTTGCTGTGCAGGGATGGCTGGAGTGCTTGCTGTGCAGGGATGGCTGGAGTGCTTGCTGTGCAGGGATGGCTGGAGTGCTTGCTGTGCAGGAATGGCTGGAGTGGTGTACAGGGACGACAGGAGTGGTGTACAGGGACGACAACAGTGGTGTACAGGGACGACAACAGTGGTGTACAGGGACGACAACAGTGGTGTACAGGGACGACAACAGTGGTGTACAGGGACGACAACAGTGGTGTACAGGAACGACAACAGTGGTGTACAGGGACGACAACAGTGGTGTACAGGGACGACAGCAGTGGTGTACAGGGACGACAACAGTGGTGTACAGGGACGACAACAGTAGTGTACAGGAACGACAACAGTGGTGTACAGGGACGACAACAGTGGTGTACAGGGACGACAACAGTGGTGTACAGGGACGACAACAGTGGAGTACAGGGACGACAGCAGTGGTGTACAGGGACGACAACAGTGGTGTACAGGGACGACAACAGTGGTGTACAGGGACGACAACAGTGGTGTACAGGGACGACAACAGTGGAGTACAGGGACAACAGTGGTGTACAGGGACAACAGTGGTGTACAGGGACGACAACAGTGGAGTACAGGGACAACAACAGTGGTGTACAGGGACGACAGCAGTGGTGTACAGGGACAACAGTGGTGTACAGGGACAACAGTGGTGTACAGGGACGACAACAGTGGAGTACAGGGACAACAGTGGTGTACAGGGACGACAACAGTGGAGTACAGGGACAACAACAGTGGTGTACAGGGACGACAGCAGTGGTGTACAGGGACGACAACAGTGGTGTACAGGGACGACAACAGTGGTGTACAGGGACGACAACAGTGGAGTACAGGGACAACAGTGGTGTACAGGGACGACAACAGTGGAGTACAGGGACAACAACAGTGGTGTACAGGGACGACATCAGTGGTGTACAGGGACAACAGTGGTGTACAGGGACAACAGTGGTGTACAGGGACGACAACAGTGGTGTACAGGGACGACAGTGACGTACAGGGACGACAACAGTGGTGTACAGGGACGACAACAGTGGTGTACAGGGACGACAGCAGTGGTGTACAGGGACGACAACAGTGGTGTACAGGGACGACAACAGTGGTGTACAGGGACGACAACAGTGGTGTACAGGGACGACAGCAGTGGTGTACAGGGACAACAGTGGCGTACAGGGACGACAACAGTGGTGTACAGGGACGACAACAGTGGTGTACAGGGACGACAGCAGTGGTGTACAGGGACGACAGCAGTAGTGTACAGGGACGACAGCAGTAGTGTACAGGGACGACAGTGGTGTACAGGGACAACAGTGGTGTACAGGGACAACAGTGGTGTACAGGGACGACAGGAGTGGTGTACAGGGACGACAATGTGTTTTATCTAAAACATTGTGTTTGTTATCTATTAACAGCTCGAGAATAATAACAACAACAAGAACTTAGACACACTATGGTTGGTCTGAGACGAAGTGTAATGTACACAATGTACACAATGTACACAATGTATACAATGTACACAATGTACACAATGTATACAGTGTTCAGGGATGGGAGGGACAGTGTTGACGAGCAGAAGAGTATGAAGGAAGGTTTACGGAGGAGTAACGGTCCATGTGTACACAAGACCATCCTATCAAGTTGTTTTTTCCTGTTCGTTAAAATCGTATATATTGCTGGACTAGGATGTATTACCTTAGATTAGACTGTGTTAGGCTAGGAGGGGTTGGATTAGTTTAGTTTTGGTTGGATTATTTCGGATAAGGTTAGTTCGGGTTAGGTTAGTTTAGTTTGCATTAGATTACGTTAGGTTGGTTCAAGCTAGGTGAGGTTAGGTAAGGTCGAACTGGTTTAGGTTAGGTTGAGTTAGGCTAGGTTTAGCTATATTAGGTTTGGCTATATTAGGTTTGGCTAGGCTTAGATAAGGTTAGGTTAGACCTAGGTAAGGTTAGCATAGGGCTAGGTAAGGCTAGGCTAGGATAGGTTAGGTAAAGTTATGTTAGTTTTCAAAGGTGTTGCCAACCCGTCTTGTGTGCACTGTGACCTGCACGACAAGGTGTGCTCTGCAACAATGCAAGCTGCAGATATACAAATCTGAGAAACAAGGAGGCTGTAGAAGGCATAATTTTGATCCAATCGACATAGGCCAATGGCTACTACACCCATAGAGAGTCTTAACATAATTAGTTTATGTTTTATATATTGAAAAATGCCCTTATGTAACAAATTATGAATTTTGGGGAGAGTAAAAACACAAAATATATAATCAAGCTAACCCATAAATGGAAATTACTCTGAAAATTATTGATTACTATAATGCGAAAAATATTTTTCAAAATTTAATATTACAAAAAATGTTAAAGTTTACATTAAGCAAAAATGCAGTTGTTTATCTACCACAGAGAAGCACATGATCAGTGCCGAGCATGGGATAGGTAGGCGATGTGTGAGGATAGACCAGGATGGTCAGGGAGACACTATGGTGGGTCAGGTAACTCAGGGGACACTGTATGGTGGGTCAGGTAACTCAGGGGACACTGTATGGTGGATCAGGTAACTCAGGGGACACTGTATGGAGGGTCAGGTAACTCATGGGACACTGTATGGAGGGTCAGGTAACTCAGGGGACACTGTCTGGAGGGTCAGGTAACTCATGGGACACTGTATGGAGGGTCAGGTAACTCAGGGGACACTGTCTGGAGGGTCAGGTAACTCAGGGGACACTGTCTGGAGGGTCAGGTAACTCAGGGGACACTGTATGGAGGGTCAGGTAACTCAGGGGACACTGTCTGGAGGGTCAGGTAACTCAGGGGACACTGTATGGAGGGTCAGGTAACTCAGGGGACACTGTCTGGAGGGTCAGGTAACTCAGGGGACACTGTCTGGAGGGTCAGGTAACTCAGGGGGCACTGTCTGGAGGGAGGGAGCCATGACTGAACATCCACAGCACAACCACATCTGTTTACAACCCCCCCGGGACCTGTGAGGTAAGAACACACTGAGTATTTAATTGATTAGAGAATACCAGATACAGGTAACTGGTATTAATTAGCCCTCATTACAGAATACCAGATACAGGTAACTGATATTAATTAGCCCTCATTACAGAATACCAGATACAGATAACTGGTATTAATTAGCCCTCATTACAGAGTACCAGATACAAGGCCAAAATTTATGTAAACAACATGGGCGCCAAATAGTTGGAATTATCATAACGTGGGTCACCAGCCTCACAAGAGGACGCTGATTCAACAACCCGGCCTCTTAAAAATAACGTCACTTTTCGCTCGTATGGACACTATGGCCATATTTGGACGTAATTTGAAATGAAATCGACTCACAAAAGTGACGTACTCTTCCGTTTTCTGTTTGAGTCGTCCGGCTTACTGGGCCAGCTTAGAAAAGGATTCTTTCCATTAACGTTTTTCATACCGTTTTGAAACTTTATGAGAATTTCCTGCCCACCTAACCTATCAGAGGACCCTTAACTTACTGTTGTTGAAAAAAAAATCCCAAATTTATATTATTATTTTTTTCATTTTCAAATTACGTCCATATTCGGCCATACTGGCAAACGGCCAAAAGCGACGTTCTTTTTAAGAGGACAGGTTGAAGCGGTGCACTGGAGTATTTCCAGGTTGAGAGGGAACACACCACAAGGTCTTACACACAAACACGCACACATTGTGCTACAACATAAAGAAAGCTCAAGCAAGACACATACCGCAGAGTCACCCACCTGGGGCTTCGGGATGCCGTATATCAGTAACTTGTAGTAGCCTATGCCCGGGGGCACGATGATGATCCTGACCTGGTCCTCCGTCTCGTCGTGGCCCACCATGCCCTACAACCAAGGAGAGACGAGTCACTCTCAACACACACCAGTAAACCTCTATAATTACCTAAGTGTAGTTATAGGATGAGAGCTACACACGTGGTGTCCCGTCTTACCAGTGCTCTTTGTCGTATAACGCTTGAAACTATTGACGATTTTAGGTTCCATCACCTTTTCATTTGTGTGTGTGTACTCACCTAGTTGTGCTTGCAGGGGTTGAGCTGCGTCTCTTTGGTCCCGCCTCTCAACCGTCAATAACTGGTGTACAGATGCCTGAGCCTACTGGGGTCTGTCATCTAAATTTGAAATTGTGTATGGAGTCAGCCTCCACCACATCACTGCCTAATGCATTCCACCTATTAACTACTCTGACACTGAAAAAGTTCTTTCTAATGTCTCTGTGGTTCATTTGGGTACTAAGTTTCCACCTGTGTCCCCTTGTTCGTGTTCCACCCGTGCTAAACAGTTTGTCTTTATCTACCCTGTCAATTGCTCTGAGAATTTTGTACGTAGTGATCATTTCTCCCCTAACTCTTCTGTTATCCAGTATTGTGAGGTTTAGTTCCAGTAATCTATCTTGGCAGCTCATTGCTCTCAGCTCGGGGACCAGCCTGGTGGCATACCTCTCAACCTTTTCTAACTTAGTTTTCTGTTTGACAAGATGTGGACTCGTTTTTGTGTTTTTACTAGACGCCGGAGCCTCATATTCCAGTATTGGTCTGACATATGAGGTATACTGTAAAAGGTTCTGAATGATTCCTTACACAAGTTTCTGATGGCAGTTCTTATGCTCGCCAGCCTTGCATTCGCCGCTGATGTGATCCTTTTGTTGTGTTTGTTTTATGTTTGCTGGGAATTATAAATATCCAGGACTACTATGCAGACGAGGAGTCATAATAACGTGGCTGAAATATGTTGAACAAACCACACACTAGAAAGTGAAGGGACGACGACGCTTCGGTCCGTCCTGGACCATTCTGAAGTCTATTAGACGACGACCGAAACGTGGTCGTCCCTTCACTTTCTAGTGTGTGGTTTGTTGAACAGGACTACTATTTTTTTTCATTTTCTGTTAGAGCCTCGGTAATTGATTTTGTGTATCCATTTGTATTTCTATCATGTAGTTCCTCAGACTTCCACTTTTGCTTTACTGGGAGTGCCACTGTGTCTTTGGTTTGGCAAGGAGAGGGTAAGTGTACAAGCATGCATGCTTTTACGCTTACCCTCGAACTCACACTTGGGTTCACTTACTGGTTATGCCGACTCAACAACGGTCGAGCAGATGGTTCTCAAGTCCCACTGACTCACCAGAGGGTGTGCAGACAGGCCCTGCTGACTCACCTTAAGGTCGAGCATGTTGCCCTCAACATCGTACACCTGCAACATGAGCATGAGGTCGTATGCCTTCTCGAAGTAGATGAGCTTCTTGCCTCCCCAGGTGACGATGACCGGCCCGGTCTGGTTGACGGGGTCCAGGCCACACTGGTACAGTAGGGGCGTCGGACCCCACGCCATGTTGTGTGGCGGCCACGGCAACGGGTTCCGGCGAGCCTGTGAAACGAAGAGGGAATGTTTGGCAGTGTTAGTTGACGTGGACCAGGAAGGTGGAAGTATTAGACAGTGTTAGTTGACGTGGGGCGTCAACTAACACGTCCATCAACGTGTTAGTTGATGGAGGTGAGGGAAGATAGGGAGGGGGCTTGTTTGGTAACATTAGTTGACAAGGGTTATGAAAAGTTTTATATTGGAGTAACGTTAGTTAGTGGTGGCTTGGGAGGGTGGATATTGAGTAACGCTAGTTAGTGGTGGCTTGGGAGGGTGGATGTTGAGTAACGCTAGTTAGTGGTGGCTTGGGAGGGTGGATATTGAGTAACGTTAGTTAGTGGTGGCTTGGGAGGGTGGATATTGAGTAACGTTAGTTAGTGGTAGCTTGGGAGGGTGGATATTGAGTAACGCTAGTTAGTGGTGGCTTGGGAGGGTGGATATTGAGTAACGTTAGTTAGTGGTGGCTTGGGAGGGTGGATATTGAGTAACGCTAGTTAGTGGTGGCTTGGGAGGGTGGATATTGAGTAACGTTAGTTAGTGGTGGCTTGGGAGGGTGGATATTGAGTAACGCTAGTTAGTGGTGGCTTGGGAGGGTGGATATTGAGTAACGCTAGTTAGTGGTGGCTTGGGAGGGTGGATATTGAGTAACGCTAGTTAGTGGTGGCTTGGGAGGGTGGATATTGAGTAACGTTAGTTAGTGGTGGCTTGGGAGGGTGGATATTGAGTAACGCTAGTTAGTGGTGGCTTGGGAGGGTGGATATTGAGTAACGTTAGTTAGTGGTGGCTTGGGAGGGTGGATATTGAGTAACGTTAGTTAGTGGTGGCTTGGGAGGGTGGATATTGAGTAACGCTAGTTAGTGGTGGCTTGAGAGGGTGGATATTGAGTAACGCTAGTTAGTGGTGGCTTGGGAGGGTGGATATTGAGTAACGCTAGTTAGTGGTGGCTTGGGAGGGTGGATATTGAGTAACGCTAGTTAGTGGTGGCTTGGGAGGGTGGATATTGAGTAACGCTAGTTAGTGGTGGCTTGGGAGGGTGGATATTGAGTAACGCTAGTTAGTGGTGGCTTGGGAGGGTGGATATTGAGTAACGCTAGTTAGTGGTGGCTTGGGAGGATGGATATTGAGTAACGCTAGTTAGTGGTGGTTTGGGAGGGTGGATATTGAGTAACGCTAGCTAGTGGTGGCTTGGGAGGGTGGATATTGAGTAACGCTAGTTAGTGGTGGCTTGGGAGGGTGGATATTGAGTATCGCTAGTTAGTGGTGGCTTGGGAGGGTGGATATTGAGTAACGCTAGTTAGTGGTGGCTTGGGAGGGTGGATATTGAGTAACGCTAGTTAGTGGTGGCTTGGGAGGGTGGATATTGAGTAACGCTAGCTAGTGGTGGCTTGGGAGGGTGGATATTGAGTAACGCTAGTTAGTGGTGGCTTGGGAGGGTGGATATTGAGTAACGCTAGTTAGTGGTGGCTTGGGAGGGTGGATATTGAGTAACGCTAGTTAGTGGTGGCTTGGGAGGGTGGATATTGAGTAACGCTAGTTAGTGGTGGCTTGGGAGGGTGGATATTGAGTAACGCTAGCTAGTGGTGGCTTGGGAGGGTGGATATTGAGTAACGCTAGCTAGTGGTGGCTTGGGAGGGTGGATATTGAGTAACGCTAGCTAGTGGTGGCTTGGGAGGGTGGATATTGAGCAACGCTAGCTAGTGGTGGCTTGGAAGGGTGGATATTGAGTAACGCTAGCTAGTGGTGGCTTGGGAGGGTGGATATTGAGTAACGCTAGCTAGTGGTGGCTCACCTCATCGCACCCATCAACAGAAACCTTCTCACACCTCACAAGAGAGCACCTCACCTTCTCACACACGAGGAGGAACGACGCCACGTGGCTTAGGGCGGAGCCATCATCTTCAAGGAGATCCTCCACTCCTGCGTAAATTTTAAGGATGAAGACTCCGTCGACGGGCGGGACAACGGTGAAGGAGCCGACGGAGCCGCCCTCCTTCATCGTGCAGAACACCCACTGGTTCATGCACGACTCCTCAGTCTGCGCCACCACAAGACCGGAGCTTAGGATTTATACATGACTACGCAGGTTGATTTGATGGTAGAAAAACCTAATGGATTATTAAGGCTACCGTTACCTAAGGTTAGGGACTGTGACAAGCCAATATCAAGGTCTGTGACAAGCTGGTATCAAGGTCTGTGACAAGCCAGTATCAAGGTCTGTGACAAGCCAGTATCAAGGTCTGTGACAAGTCAGTATCAAAGTCTGTGACAAGTCAGTATCAAGGTCTGTGACAAGCCAGTATCAAGGTCTGTGACAAGCCAGTATCAAGGTCTGTGACAAGCCAGTATCAAGGTCTGTGACAAGCCAGTATCAAAGTCTGTGACAAGCCAGTATCAAGGTCTGTGACAAGCCAGTATCAAGGTCTGTGACAAGCCAGTATCAAAGTCTGTGACAAGCCAGTATCAAGGTCTGTGACAAGCCAGTATCAAGGTCTGTGACAAGCCAGTATCAAGGTCTGTGACAAGACAGTATCAAGGTCTGTGACAAGCCAGTATCAAGGTCTGTGACAAGCCAGTATCAAGGTCTGTGACAAGCCAGTATCAAGGTCTGTGACAAGCCAGTATCAAGGTCTGTGACAAGTCAGTATCAAGGTCTGTGACAAGCCGGTATCAAGGTCTGTGACAAGCCAGTATCAAGGTCTGTGACAAGCCGGTATATACACACCACCCTCCTCGACATTCTTAAAGATTTAAATATACAGTCAGGCGAAAAAAATAGTGACAGCAACTTGCATTTTAGTGATGGAGACCAAAGGAACATGGGTGAGAACAAGAGACTGCTCTCTCTTGCTGATTCACGAAAGCAGATTTAAATTTAGTAATTTTATAAGGAAATTGGACAATAACAAAAAACAAATATTCCATTTTACCTAAATTTACCTGCTATACTTCAGCACCCTCCCACCCCTCTACCCAAGGTTCCCCCTCCCACCCCTCTATCCCATGTTTCCCTCCCACCATCTCACCTCACTGGCGGGGAAGAACTTGTACTTGTATCTGATATCGACGGGGGCGAAGAGGGTGATCTCCGTCTGGCTACTGAAGATGACGGGGCTGTGTGTGGGCTGGCACAGGTTCAGGCCACACGACCAGAACTCCGGTTGCACCTTCGGCAGACTGTTGAATTCTTCCAGCGTCATGGGGGTGTCCAGCAGCTGCCACCTGCAGGCCAACATAGGCGGGTTAAACGAGGGTGAGTAGAAACACCGTCAAATAATGCAGTTCTAAAGAATGCAAGTGAACAAGTGAGGTTTGTGTCGCAGGGTCGGTTACTCTGCTGAATAAGTGAGTGGTTATCACTAGAAGGCATCAGAGCGGAGGGAAGGGGGAGACTACGCTATCATGATAAGAACATCGTTAATCTTGGCCTAGGTTGCTGGGGCACCTACAGTAACTCTGATAAGTTTGTATTGTATTAATAGACCACTGAAATGTATTAAGTAAGTAATTATCAAATGAAGACGCCAAGCTAAGGTGACTGTAGCACCATCAAATGTGTGGGATGTTCAAAAGGCGTTAAATATCACTAAGGATGTCAATATAGGAACAAAAGCGCATAAGGCGAGCGATAACAAAGGTATCTGATTCACCAAGGATTCTATCGAGGGACAAGTGACCGCGAGGGACGGTCGGGAAGCAAGACATGTCAGGACATTCAACAAAGGATATGAACGACCGTAAGAGGGACAATGCAGTTTGGACAATAAGGAGCAGGGCGGCGCTCCGTTAGTGCCCGTGAATTAAACGTGTGTGGCATAACCTGGCCATAGCAGTTTCCCACCGCCGGTTACGGTGGTAGGAGGAAGGCCATGGAGACAAGTTACCCTTAAGAGCACGCAGCTTGTTATCAGTAATACACGACCAACGACCCTGCCAACGGGCACGGATTGAGGAATGGATAACTGGGTAGAAGTCGGAATAAGGAACACCTTTACGGGAGATGGGACAAGTGCGGATGGCCTCCTTAGCGGCAGCATCCACACGCTCATTTAAGGATAGACATCGTCAAAAATAGAGAGAACAGAAACAGAGAACAATGAAGAAACAAAGGCAAATAAGAACACAGTACACTAAATAAAATCAGAATCAAGATAGGTGAAATCGGGGTTATGGAGCATAGGTAAATCTAGCAAAGACGATGCAGTCAAGGAAGCGTTAAGATGGACCAGAGGCGGACTGACAGAGTCCGGAGTGAGGGGAGGCATCAGAGAGGGGTGGTCAAGGGAATCAGGGGGTGGGAGGTCAGAACCAGCGGAGTGTACTTCATCAAGGGCAGCATCAGAGAGAATCAAGGACCAAGGGAACCTCCATAGCCTGGACAGGTGACTACCACTGAAATGGGAGGGAATGTAGGGATAGAGTCGGAGTCGGTGGCGAGGAATAAAGTGATGCCTTGTTACCCGCCAGGGAGGAAGGAGAGGAGCCAGGCTTACGTTTCTGGTGTAGAGAGACAGGCGTACCAGCAGCAATGTACTGGGCGACAGCTTCTACAGTCTCAACAGGAGAAAGAGAACGGGAGTGGTCAACATGAAGATGGCTGGGAGGAGGATGGACAACGACCTGGACGGACAGGCGGTGAGGAGGGCCAAAAGACAGAAGGAAGGGCCGAAATGAAGGCTTGGGGCGAGAAGGGAAAGAGGGCACAGGAGACTGGGAAGACTTGGAAGGAAGGAAACACCAGACGGAGAACCAGGACCCTCTGACCCAGAACGCAAAGGAGCAGGTGAGGCGGTGGTGGGGGTGTCCGGGTCCAAGGCCTGGCAATGGTTGCGAAACTGAGAAAGTGGGAGAGGACGAGAAGTGGAACGCAACATACGAGCATAAGACATGCCAGAGAAAGAGACGGCATACTTATTGTCTCGCCTCAGAAAAAGATGAAGATAAATGATCACGATATTTCAAATTGATGATGTCTTCCTCAAATTTGTAGTGCACACATGCGCGGGAGAAGGTAGGGTGGGCGTCACCGCAATTGATGCAGCGAGCTTGAGAAGAATTAAGAGTACTGTCTTAGAATGATCCGAGTCCCCACACAAGGGGGCAGAGAGACACCTCACTTGTGTATTTGTAGGACCATGCTCAAATCTCCAGCACCTATTGCAGAGGCTAGTAGAGGAGATGTACTCCTGAACGGAGCATCGGGCACCAGCAAGAATTACGGAACACGGAAGAGACTTACTATCAAAAGTGATCTTCACTACGCAAAGAGGCTGACGACGACGATCACGAGGATCACGAGTGAACGTATCAATCTGGAAGAGAGAATGGCCTTGAGCCTTCTGGCCTTTTGGAGATCCGAACAGAGGTCTCCCAAGTGCAGGGCAACGAGGCTAAGCAGTCCTAAACGACACGTGTACCGGTACGGGTTGGGTTAAAAGTGACAAAGGTATTCACCGAACCAACTAGGTGTTTATGGATGAATAAACCATCAGGACATGTAGAATCCATATGACTGAGATCAAAATACTTAGTCCACGAAGCAGGACCAAAGCTTTGAATGTATTAGAATTGGAAGATATTGTGCGAATGCAGAGGTGACGGCGCCGAGATCCCCTAGTAAGAGGGGGTGGGGTACATGGCGCAGTTGTTACAATGAGAAAAGGAGCCACTCCAGGTTATGAATTGGTCACCACTGGGGGCTTGGGGCTCAATCCTGCCATAGAGGTGGGAAGGGAACAAAGAGGAGTAGTCGAGAGAGTCAGAAACAGCATGGCCTGGGCCCAATGTCTTCCATCACAGTTCAACTCGGGGGCCTGGTCGCACACCCCACGAGCCTGGGTAAGAGAAGTCGGTTCAGTTTCCATACAGCATCAATTCTACAAGTCTGGGTCTCGGAGCCAAGGAATACCTCCTACCAGGACAGCCAGGGAGGCCGAACGCTGGCCAGTGTAGGAAGGAGTGCGTCGTCCCGAGCAGTGCTCCCCCTTTTAAGCACGGGATTCCTACCGCTTTGTACATTCTCCCACACTGGTGCAAGGACCTCATTCTCCCCTTCGCCCCAGGGAGGACGTCGCCCCATTCTTAATTTTATGCACTCTTGTGAGCAGTCGACGAAGTGCTCACAAAATTGCATAAAGTTCACCCGTAAAGCTGGTGGTCTCCGGAGGAGGGCGGCCCATACTGGTATGGTTAGGAGATAATACAAGGGGAGATAACATAGTTAAGAGTCTAAGAGAAACTCCTACCATGTGTAGGCAGGCGGTGGTGGTCTCAGGTGTTGGCGACGAGTTAGTCAGGCGAGGAAGGGAGCCACCTACCTGTCGTAGCTCTGCTCCAGGTTATCGAAGGGGAAGTGGGTGAAGATGAACTGATCTGGATCGGTGAGGAAGAAGTGATCCTGCAGTTGCGGGTGGAACCTCCCGTGTGCGTCCATGTATCCTGCAGGAGAGATGGATGCTACAGTCACCCCACGCTACAGTCACTCCCCACACTACAGTCTCCCCCACACTACAGTCACTCCCCACACTACAGTCACCCTCCCCCCCCCCAACTCTCACACATGCTACAGTTATTAGATAAATTACACTTAGAGTAAGGCCAGTTGTGTGCTCAACAGGTACTTTAGAGTGATAAACCAAACTAATAACTACCTTAAGAGTTACTACAAACACTAATGGCTAGTTATTTTACACTTAACACTTTATATCTACGACATATGCTAATGAATACGTGACACTTAACACACACAGTTACTGACGGTTACTTTACAAGTGCTACACTTACCCCTGGTTGACCTCCACCATCTGAACATTGTAAGTGACTCCTCCGCCCACCACACCTACTAATGATAAGTTAGCGTGAGCACACTAACGCGCGGCGTCCTCACACTTGCTGCAGTGTTGTCGACGCCCTCACACTTGCTGCAGTGTTGTCGACGCCCTCACACTTGCTGCAGTGTTGTCGACGCCCTCACACTTGCTGCAGTGTTGTCAACGCCCTCACACTTGCTGCAGTGTTGTCAACGTCCTCACACTTGCTGCAGTGTTGTCAACGCCCTCACACTTGCTGCAGTGTTGTCAACGCCCTCACACTTGCTGCAGTGTTGTCGACGCCCTCACACTTGCTGCAGTGTTGTCAACGCCCTCACACTTGCTGCAGTGTTGTCGACGCCCTCACACTTGCTGCAGTGTTGTCAACGCCCTCACACTTGCTGCAATGTTGTCAACGCCCTCACACTTGCTGCAGTGTTGTCAACGCCCTCACACTTGCTGCAGTGTTGTCAACGCCCTCACACTTGCTGCAGTGTTGTCAACGCCCTAGGGTGACACACTCCGGTGGGCGCCACGTATGTGTCAACAGTACAGCACATTCACCTTGATCCCAACTGCTGGGGTGACCGCACACTGACATACAAACAAAGACAATAATACAAATGCAGACACGCCGAGAATGACATAGCACATAAAGCCAAGACCGACCCAAAACTGCTCCACAGCCACATCACAAGGAAAACAAACGTGAAAGAAACAGGTGATGAAACTGAGAACGGGTGAGGATAGGGACAGAGAATGATAAGAAGGTGTGCGAATTTAACAAGGGATTCCAGGTTCACAACAGAACGAGAAGTCTGTGAACTAAGAGACGTGACAATAAACCAGGCAGCTTTGGAAAGGTTCGAAGTTACCAGAGATGACATGAGTAAGTATCAGATGGATAAAGACGTCAGAAGGGCTGTTAGACCAGAATATCTTCATGGATACTAAAAAGAATGCTGAAGCCCTTTGCTTGCCACTCTCAATGGTCACCACAAGCATAAGTCACGGGAGACCTACCGGAAATATGGAAGACAGCTAATCAAGCCCCAATATACAAAAAGAGCGACAGACAAGAGGCGCGGAACTTAGTCAGAAGCGGAATAGAGGAATATATTATATACAGCACTTGGAAGGGGTCAGGATAAGGATGTGGGATGGGACGGGGAAAAGTAATGGTGCCCATCCATAAGGAGAGACTACGGATAAAAAACCTCGTCACTATATGAAAGGAGACTTAGGGAAGACATGATCACCACACGTAAGATTCTCAGAGAAATTGATAGTAGATATAGACAGTTTATTCAGCACATGTGGTACATGCACAAAAGGATACAGGTGTGAACCTTGTATAGAACCTAATAGAGTACCCTAATGAGCAACAGAGACATTAGAGAGAACTGTTTTAGTGTCAAGACTAGTTAACAAATGGAATGGTTTAGATAGTGATGTGGTGGAGGCAGACTCCATACACAGTTTCAAATGTAGAAACGATAGAACCCATTAGGCTCAGGAATGTGTACACCAGTTGACTGACAGTTGAAAGGTGGGACAAGAGACCCGAAGCTCAACCTCCACAAGCACAACTAGGCGAGTGCAGACACATTGCCACAAAAACACAGACAAGGAAAGGCTTGGCTAGACCTCTCACGAACACACAAATACGAACACAGGCTCACGAAGACACACCAATACGAACACAGGCTCACGAAGACACACCAATACGAACGCAGACTCACGAAGACACACCAATACGAACACAGGCTCACGAAGACACACCAATACGAACACAGGCTCACGAAGACACACCAATACGAACACAGGCTCACGAAGACACACCAATACGAACGCAGACTCACGAAGTCACACCAATACGAACACAGGCTCACGAAGACACACCAATACGAACACAGGCTCACGAAGACACACCAATACGAACACAGGCTCACGAAGACACACCAATACGAACACAGGCTCACGAAGACACACCAATACGAACGCAGACTCACGAAGTCACACCAATACGAACACAGACTCACGAAGACACACCAATACGAACACAGACTCACGAAGACACACCAATACGAACACAGACTCACGAAGACACACCAATACGAACACAGACTCACGAAGACACACCAATACGAACACAGACTCACGAAGACACACCAATACGAACACAGACTCACGAAGACACACCAATACGAACACAGACTCACGAAGACACACCAATACGAACACAGGCTCACGAAGTCACACCAATACGAACACACTCACGAAGACACACCAATACGAACACAGGCTCACGAAGTCACACCAATACGAACACAGGCTCACGAAGACACACCAATACGAACACAGGCTCACGAAGTCACACCAATACGAACACACTCACGAAGACACACCAATACGAACACAGGCTCACGAAGACACACCAATACGAACGAAGACTCACGAAGACACACCAATACGAACACACTCACGAAGACACACCAATACGAACACAGGCTCACGAAGACACACCAATACGAACACAGGCTCACGAAGACACACCAATACGAACACAGGCTCACGAAGACACACCAATACGAACACAGGCTCACGAAGACACACCAATACGAACGAAGACTCACGAAGACACACCAATACGAACACACATCATAGCAGGGTCCCGTGGCACAGTGGGTTAAGGCGTCCCTCACCACGACCCTTACACGGGAGGATCGTGGTGTGTGATCCTCGTGGCAGGATATAAGCGTTTGGGCAACGTTTTTCTGTCTCCTGATGCTTCTGTTTACTTAGTAGTAAGTACTTGGGAGTTTAGACAGTTGTTGTCCTGGTGGATATGATGGAGAATAATGGTCGATAGTCATTGTACTAGACTACCGGTGGTGGTTGGAGAGGCGGGTTCAAGAGCTAACAACTCGATTCTTTAAGGACAAGTATGGGAAAACATGCTTGCATGCATACACTCATATGTACTCATGTGCAGGTATATATATACGCACACATCCTCGAGAATAACAATCATACAAGCAAACATTAATACACTCCTATGTATATGTATACGCAGGTACTGGGAGCGCTCGCCACGCACACACGCCTATGGCCACCTTGGACGTCAATACTCTCACGAATAAACCGGTTCCCGCTCACCGTCAAGACATCCGGTACTTACCGGAAACAACCCCGCGTGTCCAGTTGGGATCCGGTTATCAAGATCGCCGGACCTTATAGAAATCAACACTTCATAAATTGTATCTTAGGTGGAACGCCTCTTGACGAAGAACCGGTATGTGTGTGTACGAACCTAGATGTACTTAGAGTCGAGCTTCAGCTCCCAAGCTCGCCTTCCTAGCTATTGGTTGGTTAATTATTTAAGAGTACTTCAACTTCAAATTATACAGACCACTGCTAATGTTCAAATTACATGATTTTGTTATCTGTATTAAAGCAGATTCAATGATGTTTCTATTGAAAATGGTATTACAATTCGTTGTTGAAGAAGCCATCTCCCAGTCAGTTTGGTGAGAAGTTTCTGACAAATGATCAAGCAAAGCATTACACAATTGGCCGTGTCTTACAGAGTATTTATGTTGCGAAATTCTAAATTTAAAATCTTTGGATGTTTGCCCCACATAGAACCTATTACAGTCTTTGCAAGGTATTTTGTATATGAAAATTATTATTACGAAGATTGTATCTAACTAATAATTTTCCAACAGTATTTTCAAAAAACTAAATAATACATGTATATAAAAAAGTTTCAAGGCCTTGGCAATATTTCCGAACCCAGAAAAATAAAGTAAACAACCTTTTTTTGGCCGAATGTTTTCACTACATATATTATTATAATATGTACGATGTCCTTTGCTGCGGCAAACTTCCTAAAAACTAAAGTGGATAACAAAGCTAACCAATAAAATTATTATTCTTAAACTCTTCAACTAAGAGTTCTAGACTAACAACCTGAAGAGCTTTACATAAAGGAAAAAATTTATTGTTTCACATTGTATCTATGCCCTGAGAAATAATGAACAAAAGATAAATTATTCGTAGGCTATCTGTAAACACTAAACTTTAATGAACAATTTTCCCTATCTATTAGTATGTCTAAAAAAGGCAAACATTTATCAATTTGTCTCTATAGTAAATTGTATAGAGGTGACGATCCTTTCTAGCTAAAAAATCGCCTGAATTTACATTTGCAGACCATATATTCACATTTATTTGTTACATCATAGTTAACATGTTTTCTCAATGAACTTGTGCCGTATATAACCCACACTAATCAGCGTTCATTGGCCCTCCTCTGGAGCAGATGGCAAGCCATTACTTTTGTGAGAACATTGTGTATCTTGGTGACGTGCATAGTGAAGCACCGATGACGCGGGCAGTGAAGCACCCGACCCCACAACCGCTCTAACGTGCCTCTGAAGCACACTTACCTCCACTCTCACCTTCGTGTACCCAGCCACCACTGTTCTCCCTGATGGTGCCCTGGCCTGAGCACCTGCCCCTGAGGACCCCTGAGCATTTACCAGCAGCCAGGGTAGGGTCCAGGGACGGGAGGACTTACCAGCAGCCAGGGTAGGGTCCAGGGACGGGAGGACTTACCAGCAGCCAGGGTAAGGTCCAGGGACGGGAGGACTTACCAGCAGCCAGGGTAGGGTCCAGGGACGGGAGGACTTACCAGCAGCCAGGGTAAGGTCCAGGGACGGGAGGACTTACCAGCAGCCAGGGTAGGGTCCAGGGACGGGAGGACTTACCAGCAGCCAGGGTAGGGTCCAGGAAGCGCCAGGAGCCGTACAAGAACACGGCCAACCAGGAGTGGAGAGGATCTCGGTCCGGTTCGAAGATGCGTCCCACTCTGTCATTCAAGAGATAAAGCAAACGAAATACAGCTTAAGCTGTACTTATACACGTGTAAGCTTATACGCGCATCAAAATCACTTCCAGTAGCGGATATATGCAAGGTAAACAAGACAAAGTAAACACCATAGAAATCATTATTCCTAAGCAACCTAAAGTTAAGTAATGTGACTTAGTCATGGTAAAGTTTGCATATATTTTAAAAGATAATTCAAATTTAATGAAGTTTCACACTAAAGAGTGTTTTGTCAAAGTTAGGTTTGCTAGAGGCTGTAAATTCTCCAGGCAGACCTTTCAAACTGTTGGTGCATGCAAGTGACGCCGGAAACTCCTCTAGCACCTCAACCTATTACATTAACATTGGTTTCAAAGAACAGGAAGTAAAGAAAGTTGAACAAATCCGTAAAATCTTCGATAACTGGAACTGCGCCTTTAACCAGCGGTGACCTGAGGCTGACTTGGGAAGGTCCACCAGCCCTCACCCCACGGCAACCTCAGCAACAAGAGGACACAGAGTCAAGCTAAGGAACCAGAGGTGCCGAAAAAAATATTAGAAAGTTTTCTTTTGCAGAGTGATAGACAGTTGGAACAAACTAAGTGAGAAGGTGGTGGAGGCCAAAACCCTGAGTAGTTTCACAGCGATATACGACAAAGAGTACTGGGAAGACGGGACACCACGAGCGTTGCTCTCATCCTGTAACTACTCTGAGGTAATTACTCACAAACTAACACACTCTCACATATACTAACACACCCACAAACAGGAGGGTGGGTTGATATATATTGTACACAGTCTTTCTGTTCCCGACAACAAATTAATAACAGTAATAATAATAATAATAATAATAATAATAATAATAATAATAATAATAATAATAACAAATTATTATTATTACACAGAAATCACAATAAAGTGATATTATGAAATGACCAAATCCACAATGGCCTTAATGAGGTAGTGAAGGAGGGACGTCAGAGGTGGAACTACTGGTTGACAGAGCCCGAGTACATGGGGGGGGGGAGGGGATGGAGGGAAACCCCAGTTAGGGTTCAGTGGAAGCCTGGGGACCCTTGTGGGTGCATCAGTACCCCAGGTTGCAAATATTTTATCATGTGGCGGTGCAGTCAACTAGAGCGTCTGGGAACACCCAGCACACAGCTTCCAACCCTCACCAAGTATATTATTATTATTATTATTATTATTATTATTATTATTATTATGTGTGAGTTTATACTGAGACAAGGTTCGGTAAGTTCTTCTGGTTAGAAGATTTATGGAGTTTTTACACTCCCTAAAGTGGGAGAGTTTAGGGAGTGTAAACACTCCCTAAAGTGGACGAAACACCCCTCGAGTCCTTGCTTCGAACACGGTCGCGTGTCTTGCAAGTCAAGTAGTGACTTAATTAACTCACTATCACTAGCAAGGGTCATTATTACTAGCAGGCTCACTAGCAGGGTCACTAGCAGGGGTCACTATCACTAGCAGGGTCACTAGCAGGCTCACTAGCAGGGGTCACTATCACTAGCAGGCTCACTAAGAGGGTCACTATCAGGGTCACTAGCAGGGGTCACTGTCACTAGCAGGGTCACTATCACTAGCAGACTCACTAGCAGGGGTCACTATCACTAGCAGGGTCACTAGCAAGGTCACTAGCAGTGTCACTATCACTAGCAGGGTCAGTAGCAAGGTCACTATCACTAGCAGGTTCACTAGCAGGGGTCACTAGCAGTGTCAGTAGCAGGGTCACTATCACTAGCAGGGGTCAATAGCAGGGGTCACTAGCAGGGGTCACTAGCAGGGTCACTAGCAGGGTCACTATCACTAGCAGGGGTCACTAGCAGGGGTCACTAGCAGGGTCACTAGCAGGGTCAGTAGCAGGGTCACTATCACTAGCAGGGTCACTAGCAGGGGTCACTAGCAGGGTCAGTAGCAGGGTCACTATCACTAGCAGGGGTCACTAGCAGGGTCAGTAGCAGGGTCACTATCACTAGCAGGGTCACTAGCAGGGGTCACTAGCATGGTCACTAGCAGGGTCAGTAGCAGGGTCACTATCACTAGCAGGGTCACTAGCAGGGGTCACTAGCATGGTCACTAGCAGGGTCAGTAGCAGGGTCACTATCACTAGCAGGGTCACTAGCAGGGGTCACTAGCATGGTCACTAGCAGGGGGTCACTATCATTTCAGCCACATGCCTCATACCCAATAAATTTGTAAAATGAACTTCAGAGATAACTTTGAACTCAACCTTTTCAGTCACACTTATTAAGGATTCCATCACCGCTGTTCACAACCACACCATCACCGCTGCTCACAACCACACCATCACCGCTGCTCACAACCACACCATCACCGCTGCTCACAACCACACCATCACCGCTGCTCACAACCACACCATCACCGCTGCTCACAACCACACCATCACCGCTGCTCACAACCACACCATCACCGCTACTCACAACCACACCATCACCGCTACTCACAACCACACCATCACCGCTACTCACAACCACACCATCACCGCTACTCACAACCACACCATCACCGCTACTCACAACCACACCATCACCGCTGCTCACAACCACACCATCACCGCTACTCACAACCACACCATCACCGCTGCTCACAACCACACCATCACCGCTACTCACAACCACACCATCACCGCTACTCACAACCACACCATCACCGCTACTCACAACCACACCATCACCGCTGCTCACAACCACACCATCACCGCTACTCACAACCACACCATCACCGCTGCTCACAACCACACCATCACCGCTACTCACAACCACACCATCACCGCTACTCACAACCACACCATCACCGCTACTCACAACCACACCATCACCGCTACTCACAACCACACCATCACCGCTACTCACAACCACACCATCACCGCTGCTCACAACCACACCATCACCGCTGCTCACAACCACACCATCACCGCTACTCACAACCACACCATCACCGCTGCTCACAACCACACCATCACCGCTACTCACAACCACACCATCACCGCTGCTCACAACCACACCATCACCGCTGCTCACAACCACACCATCACCGCTGCTCACAACCACACCATCACCGCTACTCACAACCACACCATCACCGCTACTCACAACCACACCATCACCGCTGCTCACAACCACACCATCACCGCTACTCACAACCACACCATCACCGCTGCTCACAACCACACCATCACCGCTACTCACAACCACACCATCACCGCTGCTCACAACCACACCATCACCGCTACTCACAACCACACCATCACCGCTGCTCACAACCACACCATCACCGCTGCTCACAACCACACCATCACCGCTGCTCACAACCACATCATCACCGCAGATTTGACAGCCGAAATAAACGACATAAACAATAACAATAGATTTGTCACACCAGAAGCACTATACATATCAAACACTTATAAAATTATAAACTTGGAGCTTGCACCTAGACACGTTCTACAATCTATAAAACCAAGAGAGAACTGCCAGTTTACATTAGTTACCACTCCAGGTAACCAAGGAGGTGACAAGATTACCTGGTCTTCTCGACAAGGTTACCACCTCTCCTCCCATCATACCAACGTGGAACATAGAATTCTGCGACCGTAATAAATATGCACAATATGCCAAATATATAATAACAATCATTTATATTTGAGAAAATCATATTTTGAAAGCATAGCATGTTAAAATTAATGAATGCGTGCTTGGGGTCGGCCGCTGGATGGAAGGAACATAGACCGAGAACGAGTTGGGCTGAGAGAGTGGCCCATGAGGACGGGTGGTGCTGAGAGAGTGGCCCATGAAGACGGGTGGTGCTGAGAGTGGCCCATGAAGACGGGTGGTGCTGAGAGTGGCCCATGAAGACGGGTGATGCTGAGAGAGTGGCCCATGAGGACGGGTGGTGCTGAGAGAGGGGCCCATGAGGACGGGCGGGGCTGAGAGAGTGGCCCATGAGGACGGGTGGTGCTGAGAGAGGGGCCCATGAAGACGAGTGGTGCTGAGAGAGTGGCCCATGAGGACGGGTGGTGCTGAGAGAGGGGGCCCATGAGGACCGGTGGTGCTGAGAGAGGGGCCCATGAGGACGTGTGGTGCTGAGAGAGGGGGACCATGAGGACGGGCGGGGCTGAGAGAGGGGCCCATGAGGACGGGTGGTGCTGAGAGAAGGGCCCATGAGGACGGGCGGGGCTGAGAGAGGGACCCATGAGGACGAGCGGTGCTGAGAGAGGGGCCCATGAGGACGGGTGGTGCTGAGAGAGTGGCCCATGAGGACGGGTGGTGCTGAGAGAGGGGCCCATGAGGTCGGGCGGGGCTGAGAGAGGGGGGCCCATGAGGACGGGTGGTGCTGAGAGAGGGGCCCATGAGGGCGGGCGGGGCTGAGAGAGGGACCCATGAGGACGAGTGGTGCTGAGAGAGGGGCCCATGAGGACGGGTGTTGCTGAGAGAGGGGCCCATGAGGACGGGCGGGGCTGAGAGAGGGGCCCATGAGGACGGGTGGTGCTGAGAGAGGGGCCCATGAGGGCGGGCGGGGCTGAGAGAGGGACCCATGAGGACGAGTGGTGCTGAGAGAGGGGCCCATGAAGACGGGTGGTGCTGAGAGAGTGGCCCATGAGGACGGGTGGTGCTGAGAGAGGGGCCCATGAGGACGGGCAGGGCTGAGAGAGTGGCCCATGAGGACGGGCGGCGCTGAGAGAGTGGCCCATGAGGACGGGTGGTGCTGAGAGAGGGGCCCATGAAGACGGGTGGTGCTGAGAGAGTGGCCCATGAGGACGGGTGGTGCTGAGAGAGTGGCCCATGAGGACGGGTGGTGCTGAGAGAGTGGCCCATGAGGACGGGTGGTGCTGAGAGAGTGGCCCATGAGGACGGGTGGTGCTGAGAGAGTGGCCCATGAGGACGGGTGGTGCTGAGAGAGGGGCCCATGAAGACGGGTGGTGCTGAGAGAGTGGCCCATGAGGCCGGGTGGTGCTGAGAGAGTGGCCCATAAGGACGGGTGGTGCTGAGAGAGTGGCCCATGAGGACGGGTGGTGTTGAGAGAGGGGCCCATGAGGACGGGTGGTGCTGAGAGAGTGGCCCATGAGGACGGGTGGTGCTGAGAGAGTGGCCCATGAGGACGGGTGGTGCTGAGAGAGGGGCCCATGAGGACGGGTGGTGCTGAGAGAGGGGCCCATGAGGACGGGTGGTGCTGAAAGAGGGGCCCATGAGGACGGGTGGTGCTGAGAGAGGGACCCATGAAGACGGGTGGTGCTGAGAGAGTGGCCCATGAAGACGGGTGGTGCTGAGAGAGTGGCCCATGAGGACGGGTGGTGCTGAGAGAGTGGCCCATGAGGACGGGCGGGGCTGAGAGAGTGGCCCATGAGGACGGGCGGGGCTGAGAGAGTGGCCCATGAGGACGGGCGGGGCTGAGAGAGTGGCCCATGAGGACGGGCGGGGCTGAGAGAGTGGCCCATGAGGACGGGCGGGGCTGAGAGATGCGCCTATGAGGACAGGAGATGGCTTCATGACAGGTAACTCACTACATACCTCAGGTCTCGATTCCTGACGAAGCCATGAATCTTCTTGACCCTGAAGCCAACTATATTATACATCTCGACGAGCAGGGCAACATAGTCCTTACTGACACCCGCCCGAGAGGTTAATGTATCCATCACCGTCTGCTGCTTCTCCATGCATCGCCAGTCATACCTGCCGCAAGAGTGGGAATGGAGTTTGAGAATTAATTATAATGCTGTGAGACATATCAGCGTCATTTGTCCTGTCACGAGCAGTTATTATGGTGAAGGGAAATGGGAATACTGGGTACGGTGTTGCTGCTATCACCTCTCCCAATACTGGGTACGGTGTTGCTGCTATCACCTCTCCCAATACTGGGTACGGTGTTGCTGCTATCACCTCTCCCAATACTGGGTACGGTGTTGCTGCTATCACCTCTCCCAATACTGGGTACGGTGTTACTGCTATCACCTCTCCCAATACTGGGTACGGTGTTGCTGCTATCACCTCTCCCAATACTGGGTACGGTGTTGCTGCTATCACCTCTCCCAATACTGGGTACGGTGTTGCTGCTATCACCTCTCCCAGGTAATCTCGCTACCAACATTCACACCTGGAATGGCATCGTAAATATGAATTTTGGAGTACGGTGAAAGGGGAAGAGTGATGACCCTGGCGTAGGTTGATGACCCTGGCGTAGAGTGACGACCCTGGCGTAGAGTGACGACCCTGGCGTAGAGTGACGACCCTGGCGTAGAGTGACGACCCTGGCGGCGTACAGGGGCCATCACCCGCGGCCCAAGGGACTCTTAACGCCAAAGTCTCCTAAAGTAAACGTTTACGAAAAATATTTTATTGAAAGATGCAATATTCTGGTGTCTTCTCTGAGGAGATGACACCAGAAGTTGGCAGCTTAGCCAAAAAGTTAATATGGTGAACACGGCCTCCACGGTGAACACGGCCTCCACGGTGAACACGGCCGCCACGGTAAACACGGCCGCCACGGTGAACACGGCCGCCACGGTGAACACGGCCGCCATAGTGAACACGGCCGCCACGGTGAACACGGCCGCCACGGTGAACACGGCCGCCACGGTGAACACGGCCGCCACGGTGAACACGGCCGCCATAGTGAACACGGCCGCCACGGTGAACACGGCCGCCACGGTGAACACGGCCGCCACGGTGAACACGGCCGCCACGGTGAACACGGCCGCCATAGTGAACACGGCCGCCATAGTGAACACGGCCGCCACGGTGAACACGGCCGCCACGGTGAACACGGCCGCCACGGTGAACACGGCCGCCACGGTGAACACGGCCGCCATAGTGAACACGGCCGCCACGGTGAACACGGCCGCCACGGTGAACACGGCCGCCACGGTGAACACGGCCGCCACGGTGAACACGGCCGCCATAGTGAACACGGCCGCCACGGTGAACACGGCCGCCACGGTGAACACGGCCGCCACGGTGAACACGGCCGCCACGGTGAACACGGCCGCCATAGTGAACACGGCCGCCATAGTGAACACGGCCGCCACGGTGAACACGGCCGCCACGGTGAACACGGCCGCCACGGTGAACACGGCCGCCACGGTGAACACGGCCGCCACGGTGAACACGGCCGCCACGGTGAACACGGCCGCCACGGTGAACACGGCCGCCACGGTGAACACGGCCGCCATAGTGAACACGGCCGCCACGGTGAACACGGCCGCCACGGTTAACACGGTCGCCACGGTGAACACGGCCGCCACGGTGAACACGGCCGCCACGGTGAACACGGCCGCCACGGTGAACACGGCCGCCATAGTGAATACGGCCGCCATAGTGAGCACGGCCGCCACGGTGAACACGGCCGCCATAGTGAACACGGCCGCCATAGTGAACACGGCCGCCACGGTGAACACGGCCGCCATAGTGAACACGGCCGCCACGGTGAACACGGCCGCCATAGTGAACACGGCCGCCACGGTGAACACGGCCGCCATAGTGAACACGGCCGCCACGGTGAACACGGCCGCCATAGTGAACACGGTCGCCATAGTGAACACGGCCGCCACGGTAAACACGGCCGCCATAGTGAACACGGCCGCCATAGTGAACACGGCCGCCACGGTGAACACGGTCGCCATAGTGAACACGGCCGCCACGGTGAACACGGCCGCCACGATGAACACGGCCGCCACGGTGAACACGGCCGCCATGGTGAACACGGTCGCCATAGTGAACACGGCCGCCACGGTGAACACGGCCGCCACGGTGAACACGGCCGCCATGGTGAACACGGTCGCCATAGTGAACACGGCCGCCACGGTGAACACGGCCGCCACGGTGAACAAGAGAACAGTCGGGGGTGGCGATCGGTGGTAAGACACTCGGTCCGCGCTACACGGGCTGCGTGATTTGTATTCGAGTCCTGGCCAGGGATTGACTAGGCCCCAGTACCTAACTGTTCGCTTCTGTTCACGCAGCTGTAATTGGATACCTGGTTGTTAACCGATTAACGGGTCTTGTTCCAGGGAAAGTAATTGGTAAGGCTTACCATGAGCTATGGGAAGGGAGAGCTCTCAGCCTGCTGACAGGAGACAGAAGGTGTCTGCTCCTGTACCCACCTGTGTAAAAAGACATTAATGATACGCTATACGTCACCTATAATTGCTGTGTAGTACAGGCGACTTATAAACACTCCCCCCCCCCCCCCACAATAAGACCGGGGCTCACTCCAGGTGGCAGAACACAGGCGCCAGGTGAACCCTCCCCCCCCCCCTCACCACTAGGGACGACACAGGTACACCTCACCTCTACTAATAGCACAGGTCATCACACCTCTCTAAATACATTCATCAGGACTCAACTGAGAGTGTACACTATAGTGTGTGTGTGTGTGTGTGTGTGTGTGTGTGTGTGTGTGTGTGTGTGTGTGTGTGTGTGTGTGTGTGTGTGTGTGTGTGTGTGTGTGTGTGTGTGTGTGTGTGTGTGTGTGTGTGTGTGTGTGTGTGTGTGTGTGTGTGTGTGTGTGTGTGTGTGTGTGTGAGGGAGGGGGAAGCAGACAAGGTGCTGTAGGAGCGGCACTGTGCCACACGCGGCAAGACATTGGTAGTGCCACAGGTGAGCTGGAATAATCAGGCACTATGCTGACGTGAATAATTTACATGTGGAACAAAGTGTTCATGCTGGGGGCAGGGAGGGGGGAAGAGAGGGGGGGAGGGAGGAGAGAGAGAGGGGGGGGGAGGGAGGAGAGAGGGAGGGAGAGAAGACTGGCACGGGACATGTGGGAAGAGTAGAGTGGTCGAGGAGGGTACCTGAGCAGGAGGGCCACACAGGGCAGGAGGACCACACAGGGCAGGAGGACCACACAGGGCAGGAGGACCACACAGGGCAGGAGGGCCACACAGGGCAGGAGGGCCACACAGGGCATGAGGGCCACACAGGGCAGGAGGGCCACACAGGGCAGGAGGACCACACAGGGCAGGAGGGCCACACAGGGCAGGAGGGCCACACAGGGCAGGAGGACCACACAGGGCAGGAGGGCCACACAGGGCAGGAGGGCCACACAGGGCAGGAGGGCCACACAGGGCAAGAGGGCCACACAGGGCAGTAGGGCCACACAGGGCAGGAGGACCACACAGGGCACGAGGGCCACACAGGGCAGGAGGGCCACACAGGGCATGAGGGCCACACAGGGCAGGAGGACCACACAGGGCAGGAGGGCCACACAGGGCAGGAGGGCCACACAGGGCAGGAGGGCCACACAGGGCAGGAGGACCACACAGGGCAGGAGGGCCACACAGGGCATGAGGGCCACACAGGGCAGGAGGGCCACACAGGGCAGGAGGGCCACACAGGGCAGGAGGGCCACACAGGGCAGGAGGGCCACACAGGGCAGGAGGGCCACACAGGGCAGGAGGGCCACACAGGGCAGTAGAGCCACACAGGGCAGGAGGGCTACACAGGGCAGGAGGGCCACACAGGGCAGGAGGGCCACACAGGGCAGGAGGGCCACACAGGGCAGGAGGACCACACAGGGCAAGAGGGCCACACAGGGCAGGAGGGCCACACAGGGCATGAGGACCACACAGGGCAGGAGGGCCACACAGGGCAGGAGGGCCACACAGGGCAGGAGGGCCACACAGGGCAGTAGGGCCACACAGGGCAGGAGGGCTACACAGGGCAGGAGGGCCACACAGGGCAGGAGGGCTACACAGGGCAAGAGGGCCACACAGGGCAGGAGGGCCACACAGGGCATGAGGACCACACAGGGCATGAGGACCACACAGGGCAGGAGGGCCACACAGGGCAGGAGGGCCACACAGGGCAGGAGGGCCACACAGGGCAGTAGGGCCACACAGGGCAGGAGGGCTACACAGGGCAGGAGGGCCACACAGGGCAGTAGGGCCACACAGGGCAGGAGGGCTACACAGGGCAGGAGGGCCACACAGGGCAGGAGGGCCACACAGGGCAGGAGGGCCACACAGGGCAGGAGGACCACACAGGGCAGGAGGGCCACACAGGGCAGGAGGCGTGAGTGTTGTACTTGAGGAAGGACTCACAGTGACAAGGTGGTAGAGGCACTGTCCAGTGTGACAGTGATATATACGGTATTATATGTAGTCTATAGATATGGGTGTATATTTCTTGTAAATAATTACCTGTACATAATACTTAAGTACATTTGGTGAAGACTTTTGTCTAGTGTTGAGTCCCCCCCCCCCCCTTCCCCATTTGGTTGTCTATCACTGCTCAGTGACAGACAACTCCGCCACACTTGGGGCTGGACCCGTCAAGACACAGGCACTACGGCCCCACACAAGAGAGGACCGACACCCGAGGTGCTGGCTGAGTGTGTCCGTAACACCTCTTTAATTACCCCCCTTGTTTGGCACCGTGTATCTTGCTAGTCCTTGTCTCACACCTTGTGTGCCGCCCGGCTCATCCTGCCCCTCTCACCCACCTCTCACTCCAGTGTCTGCCACTGTAACACCCACATCTTGGTGTCTGCCACTGTAACACCCACATCATGGTGTCTGACACTGTAACACCCACATCATGGTGTCTGGCACTGTAACACCCACATCATGGTGTCTGACACTGTAACACCCACATCATGGTGTCTGGCACTGTAACACCCACATCATGGTGTCTGGCACTGTAACACCTACATCATGGTGTCTGGCACTGTAACACCT